TATTGACTGCTCAGTTTGATACTTGGTTCAAATCAGGGTTTGTCCATATTGATTTTCCTTTTTTTTGAGAACAGCCAGGTGTCCTCATTCTTCTACTACTGAGTAACTGGCTTATATCCCAGATAATTAAAAAATTGTTTTTGAGTCTCTAGGTTCTATTCCTCTAAAAAAATGTTCCTTTTTATTCCCGTATTTTACTAAGGAAACATTTCATTTGAACCCACTGCAAAGATTGTATTTCAAGCAGCAGCTCAAATTTCTGCTCAGGAATTCATCATTTGTTGAGATGCTTTACTTTGCCATGTGTAAATGAGGAGTCAGTAACGTATCTAGAAGTAGTTTACAAACAAAATTTATTAAAGCCATCCTATACCCTTTGCTTCTCAGTTCTGTAATTACAATGGTACTAAGTTTCCAGTTGCTGCATATGCCTCACATTTTCTTCTGATTTTTGGAGGCCAGGAAGATGTCAAATGTTCAACTGGAATTTAAGTCTCTCGGTGCAAAATAGGTCTTCCCTTCCTGCCATAAACTGTTAAAATGGAAAGCTTATATTTTGTACATTCCAATGATTTTTTTTAAAATTTACATTTTGTACTTTATAGTACAGTTGTTCTGCAAGTGTGTTAATGAAATCTAAACTTATTTTACCAACTGTCACTCTCAATTAAAACAGAAATCCCTTAAAATATATAGACTGTCAGAATTAATAATCTACCTCTCACACCACATCTTATTCCACTACCACCCATGTGTTTACAACTCATCAACAACACTGATCTCCATAAATACACACTCCAGGCGTACTCTTCAAGTCCGTGTTCTCCCATGAATACGTATCTCGCTTGTTTGTTCGTTTCTTAGCTAGTTTTTTCCACTCTGGAGGGTCCTTCCTCAAACACATATTTTCTCTCATTTTGCCTTCTCACCTCTTTCCAAGCAAGCTTCATTCAAAAACTACCTTGCGGGGCTGGAGCGACAGCACAGCGGGTAGGGCGTTTGCCTTGCATACAGCCAACATGGCCGACCCAGGTTCGATTCCCAGCATCCCATATGGTCCCCTGAGCACCGCCAGGAGTAATTCCTGAGTGCGTGAGCCAGGAGTAACCCCTGAGCATCGCCGAATGTGACCCAAAAAGCCAAAAAAAAAAAAAACACAAAAAACAAAAAAACTACCTTGCTTCACTTAACTTTCCACCCCCCAAACACACACTCTCCCCAAATTAATTCTCCTAATTTTTTTTCCTGTTTATATCACTACCTGATAGTTATGATCCTAACTCTTCATTTACTTATTCTTTGTCATCATTACGGATTATTTCCTATGTCAATGAAAAAACTAAAATAATAAAATAATGAAATCCTTTTTAGAACATACAAGGTTTGTGGAATAATTCAACTACATAACAAAATCTTTATTTCTTAATATTAAGTGGGTAATGAAAAATATATGAAACAGTACAGTCTTTATATTCTACAGTATACTAGAAAAAAGAATCATAAGTAAAAACTAAAATGTTAAGACTCTGGTTGGCAAAATGGTAGGTTATCTCACACTGGTTTTTCTTTTTTTTTTTTTTTAAATTAGTGAATCACAGTGGGGTACAGTTACATATTTACAAACTTTTGTGCTTGCTTTTCAGTCATACAATGATCGAGGACCCATCCCTCCTCCAGTGCCTGTTCGCCACCAACAATGATCCAATGATCCCAGTATCCCTCCCACCACCATGCCCCACACCCCACTCCGTGTCTGTGGCAGGGCATTCCCTTTTGTTCTCTCTTTCCTTTTGGGTGTTCTAGTTTGCAAGAGAGGCTTTGAGCGGCCATTGTGTTTGATATAGTCTACATTCGGCGTGGCAGGAATCTCCCAACCTGAGCAGGTTCTCCAAACACCCTTTACTTGGTGGTGTCTTCTCTATCTGAGCTGCCTTTTCCCCCAGCATGTGAGGCCAGCTTCCAAGCTGTCACACTGTTTTTTTTTTAATATACATTTTTCTTGTATCCCCCATGAGAGAAGAGGTTTAATAAAGAAAAAAAGAAATGAGGCTGAGAATCATTATCACAATAATAAAGATTTGGGAGATTAGTTCTGCTTATGCAGAAAGAAGAGATATAAGGTAAAGAAACTGGCATAGAGTCAAATCAAAATTTGGGGAGGGGCATCATCGGCCACCATCCAGATCACATGTCCTTCTCTCCTGGAAGGGAGCAACATGACGCTCTCCATAATCATGCCACCAAATCCTGCCCCAGGCTGTTTCACTCAGGGCACCCCGAAAGGGGGACAGGTGAGAGCCCTCCCGCCCCAAGGGAACCCAGCCCTGGCAACTAACATCGTCCACGACTCAGCCGCCACCATGCTCACGGCCACTCTCCCCAAGCGCGGGCCAAGCCTTACCCACGTGTGCACATACGGCCGTGCAATACTTCAAACCAAATACTCTACCCATACTCCAGGATTACTGCACCACATTTGACAGGGTTTAAAATAGGAGGCAACCAATCTTAGAGGGAAATATACACTTTTTTACATATATATTGAAAAACAAAAACCCCACACAAGGCTCAACCTTTAACAACCATGTTAGTGATCTCTTATAGAAGGGCTTAATGACCCGGGGGAAAAATACAACAATCCTCACACTCTTTCCTCCGAGGATACTTTTTTCCAGCATTCTCAGTAGATTTTCATAACAAACAAAACAAAATATATTATTTCGGTTCAGCTTTGGGGCAGGGATTGGGGTTTGGGACAGAAACATCCAAAATATGGTGGTGGGAAGGTGTAATGGTGGTGGGACTGGTGTTGGAATGGTAAATGTAATCAAATAGTGTGAACTAGTTTATTCAATTTAAAAAAAAATTTTAATTGGGGGAAAAGAACTCTGGGGCTATTGGGTATTTGGGTTGGTTTCCCTCCCACCCAAGTTTTTTTGCAACACCAAGGATTAAACCCAGGGCCTCACCCTCACAAGTGCTTTCACTGCTTAGCTATATATCCCTGAACCCAAATCAAAGCTACAGAGGCAAAAACAAAGGGATGTTCAGAAATCCGTATCTATAGTTTGCCTTAAACTTCTACAGGTGTAAGAAGAGTGGGAGGGAAACAGGGTGGGGGGGGCAGTATCAGGAGTAGCTCCTGGGAGCCTTAAATAGACCCAGAGCACTGGTAGGTGCAACCCCACCCGAACAAATGAATAAGTAAATAAATGTCTGATTATATTTGTCCCAATACATTGGCAACAGTCTCTTTTAATTTAAAAGGGCTCCATTAAAGCCCATACCAAAAAAGCAAGAGTACACATGCATGCAAGCATTCAAAGTTTTAACATGAAATGTTAAAACGTGGCTATCCCTATGTAAATACTATAAAAAAAAAACTGTTTTTAAAGTGTTTTACTTGTATGCGTATTTTACGTAATAAAGAACTAATAAAGATTTTAATAGTAGAAGAATTTTAGGTTCATTAAAAAATTACGTAAGTGATTAGATCCCAATTATCATTATAATAACTTTTAAGATAAGTTCATAATAATATCCTAAATTTTAAGTAATAATAGAAGAAGGCCCAATATCCTAAATTTTCATGATTCTGGTGGGTCGGTACCAAGATCTGTATCTCAATGACCTATACGAAGCTTCATACTTCCTTTACATGCTTACTAAAGCTGCCACCTTCAAATCTCTGGTCGTCTAACTCTGGTTTCTCCTTGCCCTGAGTGTATAGATCCACTTTCATATTTCACCCACTTTCATATGGGAAGTTCCCATACACACTGTAGTATTACAGAGAGGTGGTTTGGGGCAGTACTACTAACTGCACAGTACGGAGAGTTAATCACTGACCAGGGGGAGGAACCTGGCTCTGCTCTTAATCCATTTTCTTCCACTGCACCAACTTTCAATTATGGAGAATGAGATAGAAAAGCAGCACAACACATTTGGTCATCTGAATTTGTAAATAAAATTATGATGAGACATGGGTCAGAGAGATTGTAAGGTGCTCGCCTTGTATGCAGTTGACCTGGGTTGCAACCCCAGCACAATTTGTCCCCTGAACCCTGCCAGGAGTGATCCCTGATCTAAGAACTAAAAGCAAGTCCTGAGCACAGCTGAGCATGGCCCCAAAACAAAGAAAAGTCTGAAAAGTATCTATTTACATGTTATGCTACAAGAGTTGGGTATTTTTAAAAGATATTAAAATTTTTAAAAATTTAAAAATTTAAAAAAGGTAATTTTAAAAATTGTATATTCTATACCCTAAAATATCTACTATATGATTCTTTATACAAAAGTTTGTCATCCCTACATTAAAGGTTCCTTAGCATGCAATTTAGAGGTTTCAGAACTAAGTTTATATAATGAATAATAAATAATATAATCAGAACTGAGTTGCAATTACCTTAAAATGTGTTAATACCCCTTCCCCAAAACTTTTTAGAGTGAAGTAGTTCCATCAGAAACTAATAAATCATTATAACTACCAACACTCTAATTAGGACAGCATGGGATCAATGCACAAACTCACAGTTCTTTTTTTAGGGAACTCCGGATAGTTTATTATAAAATAATATAGAACAGAATTTAAAACTGCAACAAAAAACCCCCAAAAATACACGTAAAAGTGAATGTCCACTCAGTTACATGGCCCCAACATGCATAACAAAATAGACCGAAGGCCCTAATAGCATGATCTCTTTCTTCTCTATGAAGAATGAAGTCTGTGCATGAAAGTCCAAAAATATCATCTTTGATGCCATGAGTAACAGGTTACTTGTCATGAGACAGTCACATGTTCTCTAATCACATAATAATAGATTACAAATCATATAAGCTATAAGAAAACTCAAGTACTTTTTGAAACAATGATTATCTGCTTAACATGAATATCCCCAAAGTTATTCATATTTATGTGCAAAAATATTGCATATATTATGTGCATATTTTTGCATGTTTATGTAAAAAAAATTTTTTGTACGTTACAGAGAAATTGTTACCTTTTCAGTTGTAAGAGATTTTGTAGACTTTTCTGGTTCCTTTTCTCTCTTTTTCTCCTCCTTTTTCTTTTCCTTTTCTTTCTAAAACACAGGCCAGAGTTTTCATTAATGTCAATTTTTAGTATACTTTTACTGGTTTGAGTCATCACTTAAGAAAAATGTAAGTATTCAATGATCACAATGTTCAGGATACTGTAAATATAAAAGTAAAAAGCAAATTCAAACTTCTGTTGAGCTTACAACAGATAATACAACAAAAAGCGCCTTTCCTTTTAAAAATGGGTATGGTATGACCACTTAGAACTTAGATTTTAGCATTTGTTCTACTTGTTCATTTTTGTTTATCTGATACCTATTACATAAATTCTCACCAACCTTTACATAAGGGTGGGCTTCCTAATAGCAACCATAAAGCTGGAATTTGAATAAAGAAAAATCAAGCTAATTGGATAGAACAGAACTCTTATTACAGATGAAGATAACATAAAACATGTAAATAAGAGGAGTCAAGGAAATAAAATCATTTACATTTTAAAAAATATCACAGGGGAGGTGGGATTGGGGAGGGAAAACAGGGAGACTGGTAGAAGGAAATAACACTGGTGGAGGGATGGGTGTTGGAATATTTATGACTGAAATCCAATCATGAGCAACTTGGTAACCATCTCACAGTGATTTAGTTTCTTAAAATTATTTTTTACAATTTTTAAAAAATCACAACACGTTTAGTCCATCACTGTCCTTTTTTAAAAGAGTAAATACAACTTTTTCTCATGAAAAAGTTACAGATGTTGTTGGGGGCCTTAGTCAACTAAGCAGTGCGTTTAATTCAATACAGCCAAGAATAAACTACAGTGGTATTATGATGTCTAAAATTTGCATTTCCATGAAGAATGAGACAGGATATAATACAAAAGCTAACTGGATAGAACAGAACTCTTATTACAGATGCAATTAAGCTCACTGGAATTAAAAAGCTTTAGGGTTAAAATGTACAAAAAAGTACAGTGAGGGAAACATTACTCAAAGATAATTCATAAGGCATTCAGAGGAAAGAAATAACAAGAAATAAAGAATTGGATTTATTATTGAAACTGAGTAATGAGCTAGACTTTGCTTGCCTAGCAGTATAATATACATGAACAAATAAACTATGAATCTGGGAAAGGCAGATTAATAGACATAAAAATGCCTAAAATGTGTTTGTGCCAATGTGTTCAAAACTGTTTGACACAACTGTCAAATTTAAATTGCTGCTATTTGTAAATCAGAAAAGATAATATTGGCAATTCCTAGACCATAATGTAATAGATAATAAAAATTCCTATGAACCAGACTTTCTCAAAAGCATTTCATTATCTCATTTACTTTTTACAATAACCATGTGAAAAAACACCATTACCAATGCTGCATAAACAAAGAAACAAAATCTTAGAAAAGAAACATACAAAACACCATACACAACTAATCAGTGGTGGACTAAGGGACCAGAGTCTAAACTGTCAAATCTTAACTGCTGATGGAACTTTCCTATTCATTGTTGTTGCTGTTTTTCCTTATAACAACTACTTAAAAGAGTCTTTGCTGTATACTAGACGCCATTTTGACTCATTTTATTCTCATAATATTGAGGTAGGCAAGAGGATCCCCACTTTAGAAGGATAAATGAGATGTGCAAAAACTCTTTACATATCACAAACTGTTTGCTCGGTATTAGTAAAGAAGAAAACAATATTCTCAGTACTATGTCAAGGATGGGCTGTTCTATAATCTTTCAGAGTTTTTAGTTACAATTCAAGGAAGTCATTGTCATAAATGTGGGAAGAAAGCTGATCTTTATAATCATTGTAACTGGTGAATACATATGTAATCACCCAAAATAAATTACATGAGTAGCAACATTTAGTACATATTTCAGCGCTCTACAATGTTAGAATTTCAGCTATCAAAATATGGCTGTCATCTAGTCTGATCCCTGCAGTGAGTGGTAATATTACAGTCTTTGATCTCATGTAAAAAAAAAAAAAAGAGCTTTAGATTCAGATCATACAGACTGACCTGCTAATGACTCCACTCTAAAGAACCAAAATTTGGTGAAAACAAGAGACTGTCTGCATAAGAAAACTGCTATAACTGTTCAAGTCTTAAAAGATAAAGGTATATATTGGGTTTAATATAATCAAACGATGTTTGAGTGACTGAAATAAAGGCATGGTCTTCAAATTAACTATAATTAAAATTTATGAGCATAAAAATGTATGAGCATATACACTACCATATATGCATATTTATTTTAAGGCATATATAGCACAGTATTTTATACATTAAAAATTACATTAAATAGAAATTTTAGGAGGGAGCAAAAAAAAAAAGGCCCAAAACAGCATCTAAATGGAATCACTAACTTGGAGGGCTCTCTGCGCTGTTCAGGACAACTGCTCTGAAACAAGGGAGTAGAAACTATAGAGTCCAAAAGCCAAAGGATTTCACCCGCCTTAGAGGTAATAGCATAGCTTCAGGTAAATTCTGAAAAGGTGAAACTTTCCTGTGATATCCTTCCACTTGCTCAAAGCAACCCCATACTTCTAGAGAGCTCTTCCCCAATGATCTAGACACGAAACTCCACAGCTACACAAACCAGCCAAGCTCCAAGCAGGTATGTCGTGCTCAGAAACTGTCACTGACCGTCTCCTCCTGAAGCCCTCTTGTTCCGCAATCTGGTTCAAGTGTGCAGTTTTTTATTCTCACAGCTTTCCTTTCCATCTTCTTCGCCCCCTTACCTAGACTCTTCTCTTCTCCCCTCTCTCCCATTCTGTCTACACACCCTCTCAAACCTTTACTTAAGCCCCGACTCCTTTCTTTCCTTAAATCTGTGCCTTCTCTTTAACTCGTCTCCTTTCTTCCCTGAATAGCATCGTTTACTGAGATTCTGAACACCAGGTATAAAGACTTCCCAAAGCACCTCTAGCGTCCATCAACAAATAATTCCATGAACTCTTCTTCTGAACATCTCTTAAAACTACTTTCTCCTTTTCCTTTTCCTGTCTCCAGTTTAACACAGGTCCTAACTGTTTTAATGGGATTGGAACAAGTTCTCAAGAACTATTGTACAAACCTACTTTCCACAGAACCAGTGGGGCAGTGTTATGACATGAGAATCAGATTCTGTCATCACTCTATCCTCAAAACTCATCATTAAAGTGCCAGATTAAAAATAAAATTCTTTTTATTTTCTTAAATATAAGTCTCATAAGAAAGCTCCTCCCCATATTTCAAGAATGCTATTTTAACTACAATTCCCTAAACATTCCACTCTGCCAAAAGGTATCTTTTTCTCCCACAAGATTGCTCTCTACTTGGAATGCACTGTAATCCTCATATGTAATGTTTTTATTAAAGAGTTTAATGTATGAAAATATGATTCCTCTTAACAGCACAACAGTATGTATATGACAATCACTTCATAGAGTAAACTGTTTTAGAAAACCTTTGAGAAATTGTTTTCCCCCATTAGTCTCTAAGCTCCTTGAAGATTTGTTTTGAAAGGGGGGGTACACTCAGGAATTTGCACGCAGGGATCATAGAGGACCATTTGCTGGGGATCAAACCCAGGCAGATCTGTGCAAGGGCCTCACCCACGTATCTTATGTCCCTTTATAAGTATTTCCATTTTTTTGCATACCATTTACTAAGGGGTAAATACAGAAAACCTAGTTGGAGGAGTGGCAAGCTAATTAAGATAGTAATAACAAAAGAAAAAACTGAAGAGTCAAAAAAATTGAAACCTTCAAGTATTCGTAGGGACAATCATTTTCCCCCCCTATCGGCTACACCAACAGTGATCAGTTTACTCCTCACTCTGCACTCAGGGATCACTCCTGAAAGTGCTTGGGGCACCATCATGTGGTATAAGGGACAACCCCAAGTCTGTGCCACATGCAAGGCAAGCATCCTCTACATTTTATTTCCTCTCTAACCTCAAGTAGGGGTCACTTTCAAAATTGATAAGCGTTGTTTTGGGAGGGGGGCTTAGGGCTACATCCAGTGATGCTTACATTTTTCTCCTGGCTCTGTACTCAGGTATCACTCCTGGCTGTATGTGGGGCCCCTCTGCAGTGCCAGGGATCACACCGAGGTCTCCTGTGTGCAAGCATGTACTCTGTGCTCTCTCTCATGCCCCTTGACACCCTAACCTCCCTTATCCCCACTGCATTCAGAAACTGTAAATGATGACTCTAATTCACTATTCTAAACTATATATATTGTTACCTGTATAGTTACTGCTATTTTTTTTTCTTTTTGGGTCACACCCTGATGCTCAGGCGTTCCTCCTGGCTCTGCACTCAAGAATTACTCCTGGCAGAGCTTGGGGGACCATATGGGATGCTGGGAATAGAACTTGGGTTAGCCGCGTGCAAGGCAAACGCCCTACCCGCAGTACTATCGCTCCAGCCCCGTTACTGCTATTTTTCAAAAAACTCCCTGACATTAATCAATCATACAAAAAAGATATTACCCTCTAAAATTTTTCTAACAGATCAAGAAATTAAACTGCAATGATAAAAGTTTTCTAAAATCTCAACATTTTAGAATAGTAATTCGTTTTTTGTTCTTTCCAGTCTGTTGCATTCATTCTGAAATTACATAGATTAAAGTCCTCTAATCCTATGTATAGTAGAGGAAATTATATTCTAGCAACTCTTGTTTTTTAATATATTTAATACTATAGCCCATTCAAAATATAAACAATTATTATAGCACTAACATATTACAGCACATTTGAACGGAAGTTCTTTACCCTTGCACACTAGATAATGCAGCTGCCTAAATTACTACCATACCTCTGATTTGTTTTTTTCAACAGCAGCTTGTAGAGAAGGAGAAGATACCAAAGGCTGAAGAGGAGCATCTGAGGAAGAAATCTATGGGAGACAGGTGAAGTCAGAAGAAAAAAAAAATGAAGGTATCAGAATTGATAGATATAGATTGGAAAGAAAAAAATACACAAATTTCAGAGATACAGAAGCAATCAGAAGTATGTTAATAAAGTAGAAGTTTTTTCATCTCCATGTGAAACTTATAACGGTAGGTTTACACAATAATGTTTTTCAAAATTACAGAGTACTGAAAATGTATTTAACTATCATAAACCCATATAATGTCATAGTAAAAGCACTTGAAAAAGTAATTTACTTCTCCAAGGGTTCACTTTCATTCAATGTCAGTATTTCAATGCTAGTGCTCTGAAGCATGAAGACACAATGTTCCAAGAGGCAGGAGAGTGAGCAAACAGGAGTTTTTGTTTTAAATTATGGTAATTTTAAAGAATGGGAAGTAAAACAGAACCGAAATAGTAAAAGTTAGGCGTTTTAATCACATGTTTTAGAAACCGGGGGAGAGGGTCTGGAGGAAAAGCAGATTAATACAATGTAACACTGAGCTGCAGAATTCATGACAAAGCAATTTGTACACTTCTTTAGAATCAGTATGCATAAATACCATTTCCAGTGCTATATTTGCTGAATTACACCAAAGTATTATGTGACGTTTATATATGCAGTAGAGGTAATTTATACATGAAAACAGATTTCATCTAAAAGCCTTTTCAAATATCTTCCTACCCAATTTCTACATGCACAGTTTATCACTTTAATGAAAGCATTATCTTCTTGTTCTCGTTACTGCCAAAATATAACTGAAATACGTTTACAAAATGAACAGTAGATCTTTGGAACCATAAAAATGACATCTCTATAATGCTCTGCCATAGCAATAGAGTCTATGAAAAATTTAAAATAAAAAATACTATTATAAAAAGGTCATTACATAATGTCAAAATAGCAATGTAAGATGACATGTCTTCAGTCAATCAGCTGATTATTAAGTTAATTGTGGCTGTAATTCTTAAATCACAAGCCAAGAACATAGACTTTAGGATTTCTTTTCTTGCACACTAGTGTTAAATTTTCATAATTTTTAAAAAGTCAGTGGAGATTTAGTTCAATGGTAGACTAAAGGCATCTTACGCACACACACACACACACACACACACACACACACACACACCAGTCAGTACTAGAGCACATGCCTTGCATTCACAAGGCCCCATGTTTGATCTCCAGCACCACACATACATACATCTCCTCTGAGATCTGAGTATAGCGTGGTGGCATGGCCCTCAAGCACTGCCAGAGAACTCATATGACTCCTAGTACCACTGGGCCTAAATAACACTGCAACACCAGGTCTAAACAGTGAGCATCAGGCCTGCACTGCCAGGCCAAGTATCACTGAGAATCAACCTGGGCAACCTAAGCACTGGCAGGAGGCACTCTACCCACAACACCCCCCCCCCACACACACACACACACACACGTCCAACTACACCGTCTTAAAGACTAACTTTTAAACTGGTCTGATCAATTGAACATTCACTTTCTAGTCTCAAAATGGAGAAGTTATTGGGCCCGCTCAAGCAAATTGATGAACAATGGGAGGACAGTGACAGTGACGTTATGTAAAAAAGAAATTTAAAAATCACGCAAGACTACTTAAGATGACGACCAGTATCAAGAAGTTGTCTAAATGTATGGAAAAAATGAAGAAGGAATTCTTATATATTGAAGATTACAAATTCAAGATAATCCACTAAAAAAGTGATCTTTTTTACAAAAGGACATAAACAGATTTGGCGCCTTTTAAACTCAGTTATAAAAATACAAAACTATTCAATAGATAGTAATTTGTTTTTCTTGTGAAGGGGTGGGGGAACGGGGCGCACACCCAGCAACGCCCAGGGGTCATTTCTGATTCTGACTTCAGAAATCACTCCTGGTGGTTCTTGGAAGACAATATGGAATAGGGGAAACCAAACTCGTTTGGCCATGTGCAAGGCAAGCACCTTACCAGCTGCGCGTAGGTCCCAAGTAAGTTAACGAAGGATTTAACCCTCCTGCCCCACACCAAACAATACTGTATCTACATTAGATATATTATATGGATGCTGTGCATATAAAATGTTGTATCTATATAATGTATAATTATATATATTATACTATATGCACGGGAGAGCCTAGCAAGCTCCCTGTGGCATATTTGATATACCAAAAACAGTAACAAGTCTCACAATAGAGATATTACTGGCACCCGCTCGAGCAAATCAATGAACAATGGAAGGACAGTGACTATACTACATACTATAGTGTATATAACATATATACACCCTATATAAAACAGATCTCTGTACTATCCTATACTATACTCCAGCTAGGAAAAAAAAAAGACTTATTTAGTAGAAAAGACATCTGAAAAAGAAAAATCAATCAGATGAACAGGCAAACTGTGGTATGCCATAAACTGAATCATTTGCCAATATAAAAAAAATGCTGTAACAGAACATTTGAGAATGGGGATGAATTTCACTAACGGTAAACTAAGTCAGAGCGCTTAAAGGACTGCTGCACATGGTGCAGGAGCCCCATGATCCACCCCCCTCCCCCCATCCCCAATACTACAGTCCCCCTAGGCACTTGGGAGCAACCACAATCACGGAAGAGGAGTAGCTCCTGTACACTGAGTATGGCCCCAAATACGAACACAAACACTGTCACACAAAAATACATCGCTAAATTAATCCATGCACAGGAAACTCAATCAAAGACAAATATCATCTACGGTGATGAAACAGCAAAACAGTAACTACCTGGGTGACATGTGAAACACTAGAGACAAAAGAATCCTCTCAGAGTCAGGGTACGGTTCTTTATGCCAATTATATCGGTGGCTAAATAGGGGTGTATGTTTTTTTTAAACTCACTAAAATTTACCATTAATCGCCTTTAATTCTGTAGAAATCATACCAAAATAAAGTACACTACAGAGAGACAGGGCTGGAGCGATAGCACAGCGGTAGGGCGTTCGCCTTCCAAGCGGCCAACATGGCCGACCCGAGTTCGATTCCTCCGCCCCTCTCGGAGAGCCCGGCAAGCTACCGAGAGTATTCGATATGCCAGACACAGTAACAACAAAGTCTCCAACGGAGACGTTACTGGGCCCGCTCGAGCAAATCGACGATCAACGGGAGGGCCTTTACCTTTACCTTACAGAGAGACAGGAACAACATAAGGACAAGAAGGAAGGAGAAAAGAAAATGGGGGAGGGGGGGGAACTAGTTGTGCAAACTTTGTTTCTAAATCTCCTAAAACCAGTAGTGATAGCATGACTCCATTCTAGTAGGAAAGCACCATCATCTATCACCTGGACTTAGTACTCCTAATGGTTTACTTGCCCTAAGTCATGTTTTTCTGCAAATCTCATCACAACACACTCTTAAGAGTCCCCAGAAAGTTCACACACATTATATCAAGAGTCCAAGCACTTAACTAGACCACAAGCTGTCACTTACCTTCTATCTCTCCCTTTCACTGCCCCAGCCAGGTTGTTATCTAGTCACCCACTTCCCTCCTGGTTCCAACTTTTTCTCTCGGCTGCTCTAGGGGTCCTTAGCTCTTGCTAGTTCTTGTGCCTAAAACATTCACAGTTGCATAATTTCCTATCCATACTTAATTTTTGAGTTTTTCTACCTCCTCCAAGAGTATTGTTTCATGCCCCAGTTGAGCTGCTTCATGTTAAAGAGCTGCTTCAGGTTTTGCAAAAGCAACTTCTATTGCACTTTCAATAGTAGAAAAAAATCACATGCTTCTCATAAAGATCTAGCAATTTGTCAGTAGTTGTTTTTGTTCAACTGAAATGCTCCAGACTGCTAGCTATTGTATCTATGCTGTTCACTATCATTAGCACCTAGTACCCAACAAGTCACAAATATTAGAACAGAAGAGTAAGAGAGAGCAATCTCAAAGGGAGAAAAGAAGGCGTAATTTCAATAATTATTATTGTTCATAGTTTCACTGGAAATGAGAAGGGACTTCGACTCAATGATGGTAGGAGTGGTATAGCAATACTGTATTCCTGAAATAGTCGATCTGCAAATACTATTAATGGTTCTATAGGTCACAACAGTCATCCAAGTTTCTCATTCTTATTTTGAGGGACAACTAAAATTAACAGAAATGCAAAAGTCTTATAATTATAGTTCATGTAACAGTTAATAATATAATCATCTGTTAACTGTAACCAGAGCACCATAAATTTCAAGTGCTATATGATTTATCAATTTCAATACCGAGCACTGTTCTACTTAATTTCTAAGCTGAAATACTGTTATAATAAATATTAGTTTATATATGCAAGAACAATAAAAAATTACAGTTTTCAAACTTTAATATTAAAACTCCAAATGCAACTGATTAGAAGAGCAATTTCACATGAAAGTCATTGGGAAATGAAATAAATTTCTGCTGCAAACTAAAGCATGTACTCAAATTGAAGAGGTTACTTCTGAAGGATGAGAAGTGGTAAAGGATGCTACAAATGTCTGATAAACTAAAACAAGGAAAAATGAGTGATCATTTTAAAGATTATCCCAAAGTTTAAGTGCTTTTCTTAACTTTTTCTTAACTTTTCTCCCAGTTCCCAAAGATTAAGTGTTTTTCTAAAACTGAGGAAGTTAGGAGGTCAGGCCTAGTTACAGATACACTGAACTGCTGTAGGTTTTATTTTTGCTGTTGATCATTATTATGGAAAATACAAACAAGAAGATGAAAATATATGTGGGAGAGGAAGGAAATAATGTAAAAGGGCAAATAAGAGTTTAGTGTCATCTACTCATGACTGCTAAACCTCCTAGCAACTCACTGTATCAGAGTTTCTAATTGGGATTTACTACTGGCTAAACACAGGCTGGTTGGAGGCCAAACAGGATAAATTTCTATACTCAAAATCTTTTCAAATTTCCCCCAACTAACTTGTTCAATTCTGAAACATAGGCGAGGGAACAGACTTATTCTCTAACTCAGGGTGAAAGTTATAAGATGGCCACCAAAATTTTACACATACTGCTATAATCAACGGCAGAGCCTGGCAAGCTCCCCGTGGCGTATTCAATATGCCAAAAACAGAACAAGAAGTCTCACAATGGAGATGTTACTCGTGGCCGCTTGAGCAAATTGATGAACAGGGGGACAGTGCTACAGTGCAATAATCAAATTGTATAATGTTCTCTCCTTGAAAATAGACAAGACCATAGAAATGGGTTCCCTCCCTTATGTTCTTATATGAGAAAGGTGAAGGAATATTCCAGACACAATAAGATTTCCAAGCAGTTGGTGGTGTAATAATCAAAACTGGAGTTATCCTAGCTTTTCTCGACCTATTCAGGTCAATCCTTAAAGGGGCTGGTCCTTTCTGTAGCACTGTCATCCCATTGTTCATTGATTTGCTCGAGCACGCACCAGTAATGTCTCCATTAAATCCTAGGAATTAAGAGTGGACTGTATCTAAGAATACAGGAGCTCAGTCATATTATGACAATGAAATAAATTCTGACAACAACCATGATCTTGGAAAGTAACTTTAAGCCTCACTGAAGATCGTAGTACCCTGGCCAATATTTTGATTTTCAGTATAGTGATAGGTTAATCTGAAATCTCAATTGTCCCATATCCAGACTCAATCTATGGAAACTCTAAAATAATAAATCTATACTATTTAAAAAAACTAAATCTGTACTGTTTGAAGAAACTAAGTGTCTACATTTTGTTAAATGATAATGACAACAACCATTCCTTACTTCAAAAAAAAAAGAGGTGGAAAATTCTGAGCATTCTGGCATGAAAATCTCCCACATAATTGCTGGCTCTACACTTAAGTCACTCCTGGTGGTGCTCAGGGAACCACATGGGGTGCCAGAGATGGAACTCAGGTCAGCTGGGTACAAGGCAAGCACTTTACCTGCTGTGCTATCGCTTCAACCCAAACTTACCTTCTTATTTGAATCGCCTGGAGAGATTTCAAGCCTTTTTTTGTTTTTTCTTTTTCTTTTGGGGTGTACGGAGGGGGCAAACCTGGCGGTGCTCAGGGATTACTCCTAGCTCTGCACACAGGGATCACTACTGGCAGGGCTAGGAGACCACATGAGATGCCAGAGATGGAACCAAGGTCAGTCACGTGCAAGGCTAACGCCCTACCCACTACACTATCACTCTGATTCCAGCTTTCAGAATTCTTAATGTCTTTTAAATATTACTAATAACATAGTTGACAGCTACAACCAGAAAAATTCAACAGAATACTCGATGGTGGGCCTAGAATTCACTATCTTCATGTCTTTTCAGATGATTCCAATGCGTAATAACTTTGAGAGCCTTTGGTATCAAGAGCCTTGCCTGAATTCTTCTGCGTCATCTCACTTTGGCAAAGACGGGATAAAAATTATCCCTTTAGCTGAAATAACCTTCCTACATTTTCAAAACAGTCTACTTTAACTCTGCTGAAACCCTAATTTACCCCTAAGAATAATTTCAAATGTTATTCCTTTAAGAACTTTTCCTATAAAAACTAGTGTTACCTAATTTGTATGTTTCCACAGCATTTTCATTCTTTTGTAATTATTAACCTTCTGCATTACAATATAGCTTATTGTACATGTAAATTACATGCTGATAATATTTGAGAGTAAACTATTTTTGGACAAAGACACCATTTCGATTCAGTGCCTCGACATGGTATAGGCATTCAATGTTTGTTTGCTGCATGACTGAAAAAACAAATCACAGAAGGAGCGATTCAAGTGAACTTGAACCACTCTGTCATTACCTATCTAGTTTCAAAATGATAGGCTGGTGCATACCTCAATAATGAGGTACTGAGAGTTGGTGCCCAGCATCATGCATTCACTTTGTGAGATGTATTTTCTTTGAGACTACAAACCAGTAAATATTCTAAAACAAAATCATTTACACACTTAAAGCATATCTTCCTTTCTTTATCTAAAACTTGCACTTCTTTCTAAATCTCACTTAATTCATAATTATAATGCTATCCACCAATCAAAACCATATGGTCTATATTTCAAGCTCTGTCCATAAAGCAGCACACATTGCTCTCCCTGCCTTCTCTGAAAGCACCGTGCTTACATGACCAGACCCCACATTTACCAACATATTGCTAAAGCCACTCTTCACAATTACCAACAAATCAATAGAACAAGGGCAGTATAACCCTGGGCCCTTTCACACACTACACTGTGGATTCCTGTGGGGCTTAGTTCACAGATACATCCAATAGCTTGGATATGAGGGTTAAGAAATTGGGCTTGGGATACGGTTCAGTGACAGAGTGCATGCTTCACATGTTAAGGTCCTGGTTCAATGCTGAGGGAGGGAGGGAGGGAGGGAGGGAAGGAGGGAGAGAGAGGACAGAAGAAAGTTAAGAAATTACTACCATATTACACAAACAGGATTACCTTCAAGCTCTTAACTATTGTTTAAACTTAAAAAATAGTGGTCAGCACTTGCAGCACTAAAACACCAACAGCTAAACAGGAATGAGAGGGAAAAAAATTTTAAGTAAGGCACAAAAACTACAAAGGTGAAATGATTTGGAGCAATTTAACAGGATTAATAGTCATATTAAGCCTAATAATCACATTTATTAGAATAACCAATTCAATCTGCCTCTCATGAAATATTTCCTTAGTCCCTAGTATCCATTAAGCTCCTCACTTATAAGATACTTGTCTTTTTTTTTCCCCCCCTCATGCTTATCTGTGGGGGTTGAAGGCTGTGTCACATCCAGCAGTACTCAGGGGCTATTCCTGGTTCTGTGCTCAAAAGTGATTTGAGGTGCTCAGGGGACCATATTGGGTATAACAGGAATTCAAACCAAGGCAGGCAGAATGCAAGACAAGTACTCTACCTGCGGTTATTTCTCCAGTCCTAGTCTCATATTCATTATGAAACTATATCTCTCAAAGCAAAGGTATTGCCTTCTTTGTTTTAATATCCTAGATCTAGGACCTTAATAAGTGATAAATGTTATTTTAATGAGCACTGGATACAAATATATAATTCTTAGTAATACATAAGAAAAGTTCCTGGCTGAGGCTGGAGCGAAAGTACAGCGGGGACTGCGTTTGCCTTGCACGAGGTTGACCCAGTTCAATCCTTGGCATCCCATATGGTCCCCTGAGCACCACCAGGAGTGATTCCTGAGTGCAGAGCCAGAGTAACCACTGAGCATCACTGGGTGTGACCCAAACAGTCAATAAATAAATAAATAAATAAACAGAACAGTTACTGGCAACTGACTACCAACATTTAAGGCTACTTGCATACAAATGTTTTAAAAATCATTATTTTGCTACTAACATATTCCCTTGGGTTAAATAACTTATGTAAACTTTTCACAATTTTTATTAATTAATAATATGAACACTGGCATACAACCCTGGAACTTTCTGCCTTAAAACCTATAAAATATAATCATGAAATATACACCTTTATAATTCTTTTCAATTGTTACACCATACTATACACATAGAGCTGTCAGGTTTCAGTAAGTTATTTAGAATTTGATCTTTAGATATTATGACACTTGTTTCCTAAATATTTTATTTGAGTACACATCTCTTAAAAATAAAGAAATTCTTAGCCAGGGAGGTGACTTCACAATACTAGCATACGCCTTACATTTGTGAGATTAATCACCAAAGTTAAAAAATAATTATTATTATCATACCCAAGGGAAAACAAAATTCCGTAACAATAGTATTCGTTGAAAAATAATCAACCAGGGGTCAGAGTGATAATACAGAGAGTGAGGTGCTTGCCTTGAAAGCAGCTGACCTAGGTTCAATCCAGGTCGATTACTTTAAATTTATAAATTTATCACATATGACCAAAGAGAAAACCCAGCTTTTATGCCTTATCTCTAAATTGTTTGAAGATGACACATATACTGTCTTATAGCTTATTAATCCAAAATTCACACACCAAAAATATGAGTATAACAATGCATTATCTTAAACTGTAATTACATTGCATAGAAAATTTTAATCAAAAAAAGTGACATAATGTTCATTATAGCACAATTAAAACTACCAGATGCCAAAATGTTTGATAATAACCAATTCATTGATTACTCTATAATGTTACAATATGCTTTGGAGAAATCTATCAAAACCCTTAGGGAAAAATTAATTTTCCCTTGTTTTCCTTTTTGTTTCCAGAATTTATAATTTTTTTACTCCCCTTTTTACAATGGTAGCTAATTTCAAATTCAAAACTAACACTTCTGGTAAAATTCATTATTACTAAGGCAGTTACTATAGTCATAGTTGTGTTCCATACTGAAGAGTTCTGTTTTATGAGAACCTATTAATCTCAACTTAATTTTTAAAATTATGTAACTGGTATGTTTTTATAGTAAACAGATTAAATATATTGTATTTTAAATGCTTAAGGTTTATTTAATAAGCATCAACTGATGATACAGATAAAGATTTTACTTACATTTGTAATAGCTATTGCATTTTTATCGTAGTATTTCTTCTTTTCATATTTGTCTCTGATGAAAAATTCCACTGCTCTGAAAACAAGAAACTTAAGGAAAAACAAAACTCAAGTGACATGTATTCATGAATTCCCTTTACTCATTCCTTTCCCCAAAAAGCCTACACTTTTAACATCAATTATTCTGTTCTCCAGTGTAAATTTCCTTCTCATCTATTTCTGCAATAAAATTCTGTAATTCACTTTTTCCTTCTACCAAAAACCATCTACCTCTTTCAGCAAATTCTCCCCATTCAACAAAAATACCCAACCCAACTCCAGAAAGAAAAACATACATAAGTCTCAATTCAATCACACCAAAATCATCTACCACCACCACATACTATCCCCCACGTCCCCACCCTCACCTCTGCCTCCAACTCTAAATTCAACCAAGGTTCACTCTGTATTTTGAGTGTAAGAAATTTTACCTGTGGAGTACACCACATGCAGATGTGCCTGTTTGTTTTAAATACACCTCTTTATAGTTAACAATACAGATGTAAGCCAAGCCTGGAAAGAAAATATGAATATAATAAACATGGAAAGCAACAGTGGCTACAGGTGAATGCATAAAAATTATGACACATGGCTGTGAAAAATAAAACAATCTGAATCAGTTACAATGATTTAAATTTTTGAGAAGTTTCATTTAAAAAATTGAAACAGGTGAAACTTCCTGTACACATATTTTTCAATGCATATATGCCCTCTGCAAAATTCCTAAAGAGCATTCCTACAGGAAATGATTTCATGTATATAGAAAGGGCATTATGAAGGCAGAGAGAGGGGATTAGGGAAGGCAATTGGACAGGGAATCTAGATTCATCTCCCTGCTACCCACCTTTAATCTTCATTTTACTTTTTCCAGTGCTGGGAACTGAACACAGGACTACACACATGTAAGGCATATGTTTACCACTGATCTATAACCCTGGACCTCAATTCCATTTATTAACAAAAATGACCGAAAGCTAATTTTATGTGGGGAGGGGTGGGGGGTGACTTTGGGTCACACCCGGCTGTACTAAGGCTTTATTCCTAGTTCTGTGCTGAGGGATCACTACTTCTGCTGTGGCTCCTGGAACCATATGGGTACTGGAAATAGAACATGCAAGTGACATGCAAGGCAAATGCCCTTCCTACCTGCTGCACTTCTCTCAGCCCCTAGAACCTATTTTTAAAGACAATTTTCTACAACCTAAGCACTTAAAGGTGACCTTAGATTATCAATTTTTCTCCTCAAACAACCTACAGGTAGGAGTAATGCCACAAACTAAAACTGAGGCACAGAAACTTAAGAGTTCTTTGGGATTCTAGATAAGAGAAAGTTTGAAAGGTTATTTGAATGCCAAATCATCTATGTTGATCAATCATAAGTCCATTTGTGAATCAAGTCAATTATTTTTTTTAATAATAAATCCTTTAAAAATCTCTAAAGAATTATGTCAAACCTAGAGGATGCTTTCATTTTCAAGATACCTTTGTAGATCCTTTTGTATTAAAGGGCCCTAGAACATCCACAAAGCTGCTTATTTAAGAGTGTATGTTAGACAATTTAGTATCAAAAAGCTGCCACAAATATCCAGAGACTTCCAGAAAATGTAATAGCTATTTTATTCTATTTCACATACAAAGTGCTAAATGTTGTTTGCTCATACCTGTAAATCCAATTGAAATATTTTATTTTTATATCTTTCTAAGAAGGAAAAACTAAGACTTTAAAGTTTATCTTTTGGATGACTATGAATGTGGACACACTGCGTGATTTTTCACTGTGAAGACAACTACCTACCCACACAACAAAAAGAGAAAAAAAAAATAGCATTGTTAACTGTGTAAATGTTTTAAATAGTAATTAATACTATTAGATATATTAAATAGCATACAATATAGAATTATTTTACCTATAGAAATTTTTTTAAATCTAAATTCTTAAAATACAGTTTTTTTAAGATGAACAATATCTGGTGGTGCTAGGTGGCTATGTGATTCAGGGGATCAAACTTAGGGCCAGACATATGGCCAGGCATTCTATCTACCACTTGAGCTGTATCTTTAAATATCTAGAATACTGGTATTTCCTTCTTAAGAACAGCACCTTATCTTGAATAGTACCTATAAATACCCTATATATAAAGCTTGAAACTTTTTCATTATTCTAAGTTACAAAATGTTTAGTGTTAAAAAAAAGATCACTGCTTTTGACCAACATCACTGTAAGAAGATTATTACTAAAAGTTAGAAAAACAGTACGTAAAATAATTTAACCATCAATAATAAAACTGAAATAATGAAAGCACGATGTTTTTATAACTGCTGGATTTGAAAAAGGCAAACATTTTAAGCATGTGACATATAGAAATGCAAAAATAATACTGACTTTTAATACGCTGTTGTGACTTTTCAGAAATAACATTATCAGTAAAATTTAAATTAATACTCAATATAATTTATGTAACTCAAATATAACTGAGTCTGATTTCTGTTAATAATAAACACTCTCATAAATTAAGTAAAAACTTTAAATTATATAAAACTAAAGTTGATCTGTTTGATACACGCTGTTTTCCAAAGCAATAAAACTGAAATGCAATAAAGCATTAGGGCACAAAAACTTTCTAGGACCTTACTATTAACATAACAAAGTCCTTTTAAAAAGCTGTCAAAGTATACCAGAAAGCAAATTTTCAAAATCCCATGAGAGTCACCCAGGGAAATTCTGTAATTCAGAGAACATTCTATGCCCTTGGTTACTATGCATGAGCGCAAGAATCTATTACATAATTTGTGTACCCTGTCCCAAATGCAAGTCAATTCCTAATTATTAAGATGCCTAAAAGAAAATCATGACTGCAGGTACCAGCAAACTTTTTATAAAAGGGTCAAACTAATTATTTTAAGCTTTTAAAGACAGGTAGCCTATGTTTGAAACTAACAACCTGGTTTCTATTGGGGGGGTTTTTTGTAGTCACAAAAAAACTTACAACAAGTGGGCACCAACACATCATAAAAAACTGTTAGTTACAAAATCATGATCTGTCTTATGAGCCTGTAGTTAGTTACTGACTTCTGAGATCTATTCCAAAACTAGAAAGCAAAGAACATTTGAACTGAGCTGATGGTCTTTGTATCTGCAGAATGTCATTATGGTCAAGGAATCGTCAAGGTACAGTTTTATACTAACTTGTATATATGCCAACTATATAGTTAATTCTCAAGGTGGTCTCTAAGATCTATAATCTTACTCTGGTATAGAAGACTCTTGCTACTTAACTGCAGAGCTAGTGTGACCTAAAGCTAAATCATCTGAGCTAGAGAAATAATACAATGGCTAAGGTTACTGCCTTGCATGTGGCTGACGCATTGGATCCCCAGAACTGCATATGGTACCTTAAGCACCTCCAGAAGTGACTTCTCAGCACAAATGCAGGAGTAAGCCTCAGGTACCAGAAGGTGCGCCCGCATCCCCTTAGAGTTAAATAATCGTATAAAAATCATAAAACAATACCTAAGAAGCAGTCAACATTCAATGAATGAGGCTATAGTTTACAACAGACAGGACTATGATCGCTCCATGTTCTTACCTTTTAAAATGGAGATAACTATAATCTAATAGGATTACTGAAAGAATAGGGTAAACATTAAGAAGAGAGCATGGTACAGAGTGCTAGTTCATTTTAGCTATTACTAACAATCTGTTTTCAAAGGCCAATCTTTTAAAACATATGGTCTGTGGTAATTAAAAAAAAAAAAGATAGAAACTACCATGTTATTATAACAGGCCTGTCATCCATTATAAACCTAAGATTAAAAAAAAAAGAACCAAGAAATTAGAAAGTCAGAAAAAGACTCATCTTCATTTTTCAATCTCCAATATCACAAATGTGTCTCAATTTGAAGACGAAAGGAATTCTAAATGATACAGATCAATAGCACAAGAAAAATATTAAAAGTAGGACAATTATATTTTCAAGGAATCAAGACAAGAAACATACTTGAACTTTTGTAAACAAACATCAAAATAACCTATAATATCCTCTAAGTCTATAAACACAAAACAATTCTTTTATCATCCTCAATGCTCTCCTTTCTTAAAACAATTGGTACAAGTCTCCTGAACTTTAACGTTACTATATTTTATCTTTTAACATGTTTTCATTTGTATTGTAAGATTTTTTTCCTTTCTTCAAAGAAGCCATCTTAAAGACAAATTAATACCTACTCTCAAGAATAAACCTTCCATTTCTAGAAACGTCTACTGATAGCAGTCAAACTTTGGAAAGCTCAAAGGAGAATTACTGATTAGTTTCCCTGCCAAAAAGATCTCATGAAACTCTGATAGTAATTAGTTTTTAGATAAGACAAAACATCGTAATAATGAGAAATTTAACGTAAAGCTTTAACATTTGTTATGCGCTAGCACAAGCAGCTTATAATTAACTATACCCCACATGAGAAATTAAACTTTCACAGCAGATTTTGTATAACATTTGTAAATTGTAAAGCTTTTAAGAAGTGATATATTTTAAGAATGCAGTGAAATTCTAGATTATGTGAATTTTACTCAGTTTGCTTCTACTTGCCTCTAGGGATGAGACAACTACATTTAAATCAATAAAAGTGCAGAGATGTCAGGCTTTTTAAAGAACACTAAGCTTTAGAATGAGTCACAAAAATAAAGAAAAGTGACTGGTTTTCTCACTAGTTTTCTTCATAAAACATTAAGTCAGTGTTTCATTACTAAACAGATGGATATAAGGGATGCTGCTGTACAAGAGTAAACATGTTTTAAAGCTTGTTTGTAATAATGCATTATATAGAGGGGTTGTCTCCAATTTAACACATGGTATCAAGTATGGACAACGATCATGGGCAGTGATTTGCTTTGTTTAGAGCAAATCCCTTTGTAAGTGTTTTCTGAAAACAAGTAGATTATCTTTTTGTAAACAAAAAAGAGGTAATTTTTTTTTTTTTGCCTTTTGGGTCACACCCAGCAATGCTCAGGGGTCACTCCTGGCTAATGCACTCAGGAATTACTCCTGGTAGTGCTCAGAGGACCATATGGGAGGCAGGGAATCGAACCCAGGTCGGCTGCGTGCAAGGCAAACACCCTACCCACTGTACTATCGCTCCTGCCCCCAAATTCTTATTTTAAAAGTGCTATATAGATCTCTTTCCACCTTTTGCCCCTGCACCTTTTTCTGGATTCAGAGACTAAGGACAACACCCCCCCCCCCCCCAACTACCTTTCACTTGAACTGTGCAAATTAGTCTGTGCAATAATTCCACCCTTCAGCCCCACCAATGTTAAAGGCTGTTGGTTCTGACAGCTTTCCTAAAATAGCCCCATAATAACCCTGCTATGCAAACAGGACTAACAGAAATTCACTGCATGACCACTGAAATAGCATCCTAAGGGCACAAATTATAAAGAGTAATCACTTGTTGAAAAATGACAAATCAGATCAGATCTCAGATAAAAGGGAATCTGAAGTTCAAATCACAGCACCTACAGATCTTTAAGAACAATGGGGAAACAAAAAAATTCATCTGCTCTGGCAGACAAGGACTTAAATCTGGCAAATCATTGAGCTCATATAAAGCCGCAAGCATCATCAATGAGGAACTCAAATCGTTATTTCATGCAATGGTCATGGGTCATGGAAATAAAGCAATCAATGGAAGAAAAAATCCAACCAACTCAAAAGAGTGAATTAATACAGGGTATCAAAGAGTCCACACAAATGAAACTGAAGAAATTTAAAAAAATGACAAGCTACAAGTATTATATAGAAAGCACATCACAGGAAACTCAATTTCTATCTTTAATGATGAACAGTATGAAAACACGTTTTCCTAAACACACAGACAAAAGATGAACTACAAAAATAAGTTGTAGTTATGATATAGAAACTTTAAAGGATACTGATCTGTCTGTGGTCTTCGAAAATTCTCTGGAAGATTGGCTTCATAGAGTAGTCTTGCTTTAGTATTTCCCATATCTTGCATGCACTAGAATAAAGAAAATTAAGAATTTTCATTATTCACATATATATTAAAAAGTCATTCCTATGTGCAAGTACACATGCATATCTATAAGTGAGTATCAGATAACATTTATTGCCAAAATATTTTCTGGCTTGGAAAGTAAACTAAATTACAACTGTGCAATTAAGTTCAAAATAGGTGCATATTTTTAGCATTTCATACTTCCCACCCTCCAAATCCTTCCCCTTTTTTGTTGTTGTCAGAATGACAGGGGATCAAACTCTTTAGCTGGTACACAGAATGCATCATGCACCAGAGAGTGCACATTTTGTTGTGGCTCCAAGGACCCCAAAGGGCAATGTCACTGGATCATCAAGGCATGTGGGATTGTACAGGGACTGAACACCAGCATCCAAACCACTGGCAGGCATTCTACTGCTGAACTATCTTTGGGGCTCAATCCATCGGATGATTTTCAAAATTTGCAGATCTACAGTTTTCTAGTGTATATTTTTATAAAAAAACAATGGCACCTTTATCACTATTCAATACTTTCTAAAGTGGACTCCCTGTTTGACAGCAGTCTTCATACAGATTAAGTATATTACTTAAACACTGCTGCCATGTCCAAGGCTAGCAACTCAAGATCAATTTTTCTTTGAACTTCAAATTATTATGGGGGTTTTCATTTACAATCACAATCACAAAGGAGAGCCAGTAAAATTAGTAGTTGGGCCGAGAGCTTTATAGAAATTGATTCCTTTCTTTGGAATTATAAACCTTGTTGAGATACTGTTAAAAGCTAAAAATCTCACTAATAAACAAACAAACCAAAAAACCCACTGTGCCAAATGGCCAAATTTTACTTGCTAATTCAGGAATTGCTAGACTCTCCTACCTAAATTCTATGAACCTCAATATTAAAAACAGGAACTGGTTCTAGGGAGGGCTACTGGGCTTGCCTCTGGGCTGGGGTTGTAGGAGTGAGGAGACAGGACACGAAAGAGAACATCAAGATAATGTTGGAGGAAGGGTGTCAATCTGGAAGTAGGGGGGGGGGGGTCCTGCTGAAAGGTAGTAAAGTGGTGTGGTGATACCCTACCCGTGACAGTAATACAAGCCACAGTGCCTGGGGCTGGGGCTGGGGGGTCATCTGCCAAGGGGCAGAAGGGATGGTCGGGAAACTGGGTATGTTGGTGAAGTGAAGTGGACACTGGAGAAGAAGCTAGTGTTGGAACATTGTAAGCCTAAAATGCTTCATCATGAATAACATCACAGTGACTCAATGTAAAATGAAACTTAAAAAAATAAGTAAAGTGATGTCATAACAGACTTCAAGTGAAGCCCGCCAAAGTTTACCCAAGTTGTAAAATATTTACTGCTATCATGAATTTTTATAACACTCAAAGGTTATACAATTCAGGAACTGAATGGCACTGTGCAGACTGTTACTGGTCCTTGAGACAGTTATACTACTTATAATTAAGTATCACCAGGGGTAGCTTTGGGCTCCCTGAGCACTGCTTTGGATGTGCCTTATATAAACACGTGTGTATATGTATGTATGTGTGTGTGTATATATATACACACACGTATGTATGTGTGTGTACATATGCAAACACATACATTATAACAATCTAATGTAGAATGGGAGCCTTGTGGACAGCAGGTATGAGCCGGGGGTGTGGGGGCGACTAAAACCTCATGGGAAGGGGGGCGTTCCGGTCCGTCCTTCACGCCCTACCGAGGTCACCAGTTGCCCCCCACGAGCGGCTCTCCAGCACGGCCACGGCCCCAGAAGCACAAGGACTTAATGCAGAACCCGGCAGCTTGGAGCAGAAAAGTGAACGGACTATGCGTTAATCCAGGCCATCAGGTCTGTCCGGAGGGGAAAGGGTGTTGCCCCAGTCGCCTTCTCCTCTCTGGAAAGAAAGATGGCGGCCGCATGGGAGCCTTGTGGACAGCAGGTATGAGCCGGGGGAGTGGGGGCGACTAAAACCTCATGGGAAGGGGGGCGTTTCGGTCTGCCCTTCACGCCCTACCGAGGCCACCAGTCGCCCCCCACTAGCGGCTCTCCAGCACGGCCACGACTCCAGAGCACAGAAACCAATTTCTTAACTATCTGACTTTCAGTAGAAATACTTCCAGGGTCAATAAGTAAAATAGCAGAAATCCAAAACCAACATATAATTCTTGAACCCAGCTGTAGACAGCAAATCACTTCACAATGCTTTGTCAGCATGTCTGACTTGGGGGGGTTTGGTAAACTCTAAATAATAGTGGTGAATCTTTTATTGAAACAATCTAATCAAAGCAGATAGAGTGTTAACTAGAATTCATCTGCCCCACAGGGACTGGGAGGGGTGGGGGCGGGGTTTTATTGGGGTTCTTCATGGTAAAAAATAAGTTTTGGTAAAGGGAAATGTGCTTGATATTTGCATGACTGAGACCTAAACCTGAAAGCTTTGTAACCTTTCCCATGGTGATTCAATAAATAAATAAAAAAAAATAAAAAAAAATAAAAAGCAAAAAAAAAAAAAAACAATCTAATGTAGAGATGCTATCCATCCCAACTACATAGAAAATTTTGACAAAGGGTGACAAAAATCTAAAAGGAAGAAATGATGTAAAATTACCTATATAATTGGAAACCACTTCTAAATAATGACTGGATAAAAGTTCGTGTGTGTGTTTAAATTTAAAAAATTAATTAAATCACTGATCTCAAGATAGATTTTGTTTGTTTTATTCTGTTTTGAGACCACACCTGTTGGTACTCAAGGCTTACCACCAGCTCTTTGCTCAGGAATCACTTCTGGCAGGCTTAGGGGACCTTATGGGGTGCCAGGGATTGAACTAGGTTGGCTTCTGCAAGGCCAATATCATACCCCCTGTACTATTGCTCCAGACCCAGAGAGATCATTTTTTCAGTAGAAGGAAGACCAAATAGTTTCTAGGATTCCAAAAGGTTGACTAAATTGTTTGACAGCGGTTAGCAACGAATGGAAAGATTTAGGGTAAACAATAGGAGCTGGCATTCTAGGAAGGTAATAGGACAGGGTATAAATTTGCTCTTCTGTTTCAGAAAACTATGTGGAAGTAGTAGCGATAGAATTTGTTCTTCAACCTGTGGTTCCTGGACTGTTGTTGGTCCTCAGAAATGTTCTGGTGCTACACTCTTGGGTGGTCAAAGGGGCCAGTCCATGAAATATTTCTTCAATTTATCCCAGAATATATTAATTATATAACAGACACATAAGACCAGGGACATAGTCCAGCAGTAGAGCTTGGTTTGCATGTGCAAGGGCCTGACCAAGGAGAAGAAGGAGGGAGGGGGAGTCAACGTATGTTCTGATGGCCCCGAAGAGCAAATTCCGCTTGATAACATAGAAGAAGTTAAGAAAAACAGCCTGAAGGCTACAATGATTAGTACTTAGCTTATACTTAGGGTACAATAGGTGAAAACCTACAATTAACTTTAAGAATTTTTCAATATTAATTGCATATCATAAGCATTATATGTTAAAAGTTTCTTAAACCCTAGCATTATACAAGTTCAGTGCAATCCATATCAAAATTCTGGTAACATTATTCTGATGACTTAGAACAAACTGCTAAAATTTTTATTAAATTACAAAACTCCCCAAATAGTCAAAGGTACTCTGAGAAAAAAGACTGGAGAAATTTCCTGGTTTTAAATTACACTTTAGGAGGCCTGAGAGATAGCACAGCGGGTAGGGCATTTGCCTTGCGCATGACCGACCAAGGTTGGATTCCCAGGATCCCAGATGGTCCCCCGAGCACCACCAGGAGTAATTCCTGAGTGTAAAACCAGGAGTAACCCCTGTGCATCGCCGGGTGTGACCCAAAAAGGAAAAAAAAATTACACTTTAAAGCTACAGTAATTAAAACTAAGTGGTAATGGATTAAAAACAGATCCTAAAGCCAACAGATTAAAACTGAGAGCCCACAGATAAGCCTCGGATTTATGGACAGTTGATCTATGTTAAGGAGCAAGGTGCATAAAATACATGTAAGATGATTTTGACATTACCCTAATTTGACAGAAGAGAAAACGGAAGGCACAAGATAACACAGAAGGGCCCTGATTACTCCTTGAGTAATGAGTCTGAGTATTTAACTCTTGGTAGAACCAACATCAGCCACCAGTATTTTATATATATCAAATGGTAATTAAGCTGCACATTATAATCATTTACTGGAAAAAGCCCACTGAAACAAATTTAAAGCCAATAAAAGAGGGGCTGGAGCGACAGCACAGCAGGGAGGGCAGTTGCCTTGCACGCAGCCGACCTGGGTTCGATTCCCAGCATCCCATATGGTCCCCTGAGCACTGCCAGGAGTGACACTCGAGTGCAGAGCCAGAAGTAATTCCTGTGCATCGCCGGGTGTGACCCCAAAAAAGCAAATAAAAAAACCTTTAAAAAAAAAGCCAATAAAAGATAAAGGTTTGTCACTTTTAATATAAAAAAAATTTTGTTCAGAGGCAAGACAAATGACAATCTAAATTCTCCTGAAAATAATCTTATTTCTTTTCATTAATTTTCAAAAATTTTCAAACACAGAACTCCTTTTAGAGCCAAACTATGTGATTAAAAAAAAAAAATTTCAAGATGGTACCAGAGAGAGAGGAGAGTGGTAAGGCACTTGCCTTGCACAGGCCAACCTAGGTTTAATCCCGGTTCTCCATGTGGTGCCCTGGCACTTACAAGAGCAATCCTACAAGTGAACATCCAGAAGTAAGCCCTGACCACCTCTGGGTGCGACAAAAAATAGTGATAAAACAAAAGCAAATACTTAGAATACTTCAAGGTATGGCTTCTATTGTTTCCAAGTCCAAATGATGTCCAACAGAGTCCAGTCCAATCTGAGCAATCATGATTAATAAGTATGGCCACCTGTGCCTCCCTCTTCTTAATCCCCTTGTACAATCCACCCCTTTCCTCACTCTAAGCTGTCCTGATAACGTCACCTAAACTTTCTTCCTCAGACTCCAGAAGTCT